AAGAAGCCAGCAAATGGCTTTAATTGGCCCTTACTTGCTTCCCCACCCCCCTTCCCCCTGCTTGGGGCTAAGGGCTGACTCTGCCCCCCACTCCACCAACACACAAGGCTGGGCTCGGTGCAGCTTGGCCGTGCCCCCACTTCTCCCTGCGCTTGGACTGCTCTCCAGCCCCTTTGTGCAGCCCTGCTACCCTTCTTCCTCTTGTCCCGGCACAGCACTAGAAGGGGACACTGCTGTGCCACCCCCCCACCCCACTACGTGAAGCGTGGGCCCCGGCTCCAGCCCCACAGCAGCAAACAGCCCCAGGGCTGGAGCCGGGCTCCAACCAGTGCCAGGTCCGGGTGTGTGCACTTACCCCATGGACCAGAGCCTGTGGGGGCTGCGGGCCAGGGCCTCCCAGCACAGGCTGGAAAAGAGGATTCAACCCCATGCTGCAGCCCATCCTGAGCAGGGCCCAAATACCTGCCATAGTAGGAGCGGGCATGGGCCCTTCTTGCTCCCAGGGCTCCAGCTGCTATGGGCTCAGGGGCTCCTTGGTGCTAGGAGGAACAGGGCAGCCTGCCCCATGGGGCTTTATCCTGCACCCTACTGTGGTGCAGCACAGGGCCTGGGGCTGGATGACGGGAGCACTGTCCACCTGCCACGTTTGCGGGGGGGCAGGGGCAGCCACAGCAGCCCCATGCCTGGCCTACACCCTAGTCTTAGGGGCTGGGGCCCACACCCCAGGGCAGGGACAAGCTCTGGACTGGCATGGGCGGGGGTGGCAAGGGGCATTCCTTGGTACCCTAGCAACACATTCCACTCGCCAGGCCCCAGCGCCCGGGTGCTGAGCCGTGGGTGGGTGGAAGCAGGGGCGCGCGACGGCCTGCAGCGTGGCAGCTCCAGGGACAGAGGTCAGCTCCAGGTTAATGAGGAGCGAGGAAGGCAACGCCCCAGTGCAAACTCCAGGCACAGGCAAAAAAAGAAGGGGCCCCCCAACCCCGTGCAAGTGCCCGTGCCAGGAGCTGCCTGCAGCGTCGGGGCTGTGAGCTTTGCCACGGCAGTACTGCCTTCTGGGCCCTGCTTGGCTCTGAAGTGCAATCTGCAGCCTCTCGGCCCCACTGATTTTGGATCTTTGGAGCAGATTTTAACACCTCGCAGCAGCAGGATGTGGCTACCATGGTCTAGCGCTGCCCGAGTCTGAAGCTGCATCAGGGCTGGCTGTACGGTTTTGTTGCACGGAGGAGTTATACGGGACAGTCCGGGCAGGGGCTGGCCTGGCCTTGCCGGGGCGGGACCAGCTGTGACCTCTGGAGCTTCCCGCAGCCCTGCTCCTCCACCCTTCTCCCAGCGCCGGCAACGAGCAGGGACCTCAGGAGCCCCAAGCGGCTGCGCTGCACCCTGCTCCCCCGTGCAGCCTGCTGAAGCAGAGCTGGCCCTGTGCCCCCTCCCTGGGCAGCGCCAGCCCTCCTGGCTGCAGCCCCTGCCGCGAGCTGCGAGCTACACCGGGCCCCACGGAATCACCACCCGGACGCCTGGCTGGGACCTTTATTTCATCAATGCTGACGGCTGGCTGCCCCGAGACATGCTGAGGCACGGCTTGCCCCCCCCCGTCGGTGCAGAGCTCGCGGGGAGCAGAGCCCCTGCCCCTGCGCTTCTGGCTGCCGCACCCTGCAGCTGGGCCGGGCTGGCCATCCGGCAACACTACATGGGCAGCCCAGCCCTGAGGACATAGGCATGGGCTCTGCCTCCCACGCATCCCCCCACCCCGGCAGCTTCTGGTCGAAGTGAGGGCTGGTGGCAGGCTCAGCCGCTGTGGGCACCCAGACCCAGCACTGAGAAGGCGGCGCGGTGCTTGCGCAGCAGCAGGCGGATCTTCTCGTCGTCTGAGTCGGGGTCCAGTGGCTTGTTGTACTCATCGTCCTCGGGCTCAGAGGCACCGTGCTCCCCGCCGCCAGCCCGCTGCGGCTGCAGCTGCGATGACGATGAGGGCTCCAGCGCGCTCTTCTTGCGCCACTTGGTGCGGCGGTTCTGGAACCACACCTGGCGTGGAGGGCACAGCGTCAGGCCCCCGCGCCCGGCCCTGCCTGCACCGCCCAGCTCCCGGCCTGGCCCGGCCTCAGGCTAAAGGGCACCAGGCCATGCGCCCTGCCCCCAGGCACCCTGACCAGGCCTGGCACTCACCTTCACCTGGGACTCGGTCATGCCAAGGGAGTAGGCCAGCCGCGCCCGCTCGGGCCCCGCCAGGTACTTGGTCTGCTCAAAGGTCTTCTCCAGGGCGAAGATCTGGTGGCCGGTGAAGGTGGGGCGCGTGTGCTTTTTCTTGTGGACGCTGTCTGTCAGGTGCACGGGGGCTGTGGGAAGAGGGGGGCTGAGCTCCGGGACTAGCCCTTGCCCCTCCCAGGCAGCCACCCTGCAGGGAGACGTGACCACAGCTCCCCATATGCACCCCCCAGCTCCCTGCTGCCCACAGCTGCCCAGGCAGGGCTGCCCCAGTGTAGACCCCTGCTGCCCACCCCCCACCCCCGCAGGCCACCCATGCCGCAGCTGCCCTAGAGAAGGCGCTGCAGCTCCCGTTTCCGGATTGCTCCCACAATGGGGGGGCACAGCCCTGTCCCCTCTTCTGCTGGGGCCCTGTACAGCAGGGGGGCTCGGCCAGCCTAGGATGACACTCCCTGCCCAGAGACGCGGTCCCTGCCTGCCACCAAGAGCTCCCAGCACTGCACCGGGCAGCACCCGGAGACATGGGTGCCTGCCTTGCTGCCCCTGAGGTCAGAGCTTGCCTGCTGGGGCTGTCTCCACACCCTAGGAGCCCGGTGCTTGCCAGGAACCCAGTGTGGGGGATGTGCACCTGCTGTGGCACCCAAGTCCAGGTGGCCCCTGCGTTGGACCCCATGCCCCCCTCAGGGCTGGCTGGGTCTGAGAAACGTAGGGAAGGTATGAGGAGGGGGCTTAGGGCTCAGTACTAGGGGAGTCCTAGTGCTGGTTTGGGGCTGAGCCCACTGGTTCAGCACTGAAGATGCTTCCCAGGGACCCCACCCACTGCTGCGGGGCCCCCAGCTGGCGGCTCCCTTGTGCCGTCCCGGGGCCAGCTGGGGTGCACAGGGCTGCAGGGAGTGGGAAGTGGTGCTGGGCTCCCACTCCCAGGAAAGCAGGGCTCCTCTGCAAGGTCCCCAGAGCCTCCCCCTCTCTCCCAGCGCAGCAGAGAGTCTGCGGCTGTCGTGCAGTGGCTCCCCGCGTGCCCACAGCAGCAGTGCAGGAATCGTCCCCTCAGTCCCGGGGGACCCACCGTCATGGCTGGGGGGCAGGGCAGGAAGGTGCAGCCGCTCCGCCTGGCCACATCCCCTAGGGACCCGAGTCGTGCGGCTCCAAGCAGCACCGGTGCCGTGCTCCCCTGGACAGGGCAAGCTGGAAGGTGGGGGGAAAAATGCCGTGCCAAACCTGGGCCCCCTCTTGCAGTGCCCTGGGCTCCTGCAACTGCCCCCCATCCCCCACCCCATGCTGCCCTGCCCATGGTACTCACTGCTGCCACACTGCCGGCCGCCGCGCCAGTCCTGCCCGGTGTCTGCCCAGCAGCTACGGCCCCGGGGCGGGTACTCGGCACCTGCCTTGGCGAAGCTCCCAGCCTGGGGGCCATAGTAGACACCCTGGGAGCCCAGTCCGTTAAATCCTCCCACATGCGGGTAGCCCGAGAGGAGGCTGCCGCTGGGCGCCGGCACCGGCCGGCTCAGAATGTCAGTGATGCCGTGGGGCGTGCCAGCCGCCAGCTGGGCGCCGAGGGCTGGGGGGTTGAGCTTGTAGAAGGAGTTCTGCACCGAGTACTGGCACACAGGCGCCTTCACCTCGGGGAAGGGGCCCAGCGAGGGGCCGTTCA